CCTGTTCTTGAGATCGGGGTTTGGGCCATCGGCACCATTTACTGGGACTGGCTCACAGCCCCCGAGGTCCTCTCAGTATTTTAGTAACAGCCCCATTCCAGCTGGAGCCCATCTTCTGGAGAGAGTGTTACCAGGCGGTTTCAGGATATGTAGGATCAAGTTGTGTTTCCTCGCAGCTGTCTTAGGGAGGAACCCCCTAGTGATGCCATTTTCAGAGGAACTATTTTAGCAATAGTGTTGCCCTGTGGCACAGGGCAGGGGGGCACTGGTGGGGGAGAGGAGGGAGGAAGAAGGCAGTTGTGGTGTGGTAACTGTTTGGGGGATAATTATAATGATTATTATTATTACCTATACAAGTTCAGAGCAGCCGGACTTCACAACGGCTGATCCCCAGGCCATGCACACTGGCCGCAAACTGCATGTTCTGAAGTTTATCATCCAGGCAACCAATATTTCTTCAGTCTCTCATATATCCACAGCCTGGCGCTGGAGAAGCTGCATCTGACAAGATGTGACCCCCACCTGCCACCAAGATGAGGCTGCTGACAACGAAATACTGCCTAGTAATATGAGACAGGGGGTACTATGTGTGCGGGGTAGTGGGGTGGGAGGAGGGCGGGCAATCCCGATAGGATTTTAGAACAGGGTTTCCCGAGGTGTGATCCTTGACCACTTGTCCCTCACAGTACACTGGAGTTAAAAACGTGTCCTGTGGCCAAAGAAACTGGGGCAACGCTGTGTGCTGAGTGCTTCTTTTGGAGATGCCCAATGTATGCGAGTATCTTATAGGCACTAAGACATCTCCACTAAGACATCTCATAGAGATGTCTTAAGGTATAAAGTTGTTTAACTTGAATGCTGCAATTCTTAAATTTATTTGCCCATGAAATGCCCCCCTTTTCCCTTGAGGAAAACGGGCATGGTCTATGGGTTAGTGTCCCATGGAGCCACACTGCCCCCTGTGGTCAAAACCAGCCAGGCTGCCTAACAGTGAGGAGCACACACGGGCCCAAGGCTTCCTTCCCGTGGGCCAGGAAGAGCCTCTCACTGGCAAAGCTGCAGCGTCAGGGTCCAGCTATCAGCAAACATGGGTGCCCCCAGGATGCAACCCTGGGACCGTGGCCATCAGGTTGCTTCCTGGTACCCAGACAAAATGCACTATCCATCAGGTGAGCTGATGGTGAACATGCAGCATGAAGGATGTGAAGGGTTTGCGAGGTGTCCTCTGCTTCCCTGTTCCCTTGTTCCTCTTGGATGAAGCTCTGATTCCACAGAGCACCCTGTGGCCTCTGTCATTGCTTGTCCCTCCAGTTTCAGGCCTCTTCGTGGTCCTCTCTTTTCTATCTCCTCCTTCCTGCCTGCATGCCCAGGCCCCAGATCTTCTCCCCCGCTCACCCACTAGCCCCAGGCTGCTTCCTGACCTTGGAGGGCCTGCTCCAGCCCGCCTCCACCCCAAGAAACCAGCCCCAGTCGCTGCTCCTTCTCAGATGTCCTCCACCCTCCCAGCCCAACAGTGGGCAGCTTGCATTATTCTCATTTCCCTTGCCAGAGACGGCCTTTTCCCCTCTTCTCTCAATTACACAGAGTCCAGCCTGCCTCGCCCTTCCTGCTCCCCCCATGAATGCCCCTGTTGTACCAGGGTGCCGGGACCACAGGACCAAGGGCCTGGCTCAGAGCACCTTCTCACTCCGGCCACAACTGGAATGTGGCTGGCCTTCCGGTGAGCCCAGAAAGCATTTCTTCCACACTCAATTCTGGGCTTCACTGAATCAAAGCTCTCTCTCTAAAACTAAGCCAGGAAGGTGGGGCGGGGGCGGGGAGAAAGAGAGAGAGAGAGACCCCAGCAGCCTGAAAGCTCCTAATAAGGCCCCAGGTTGGGGACAACCTCTCACTTTGGGAAGTTCAAGCAGCAGAAGGCTACAGACATGTTCTGTGCAGGGTGGAGAATGCTCAAAAACACACGGTTGAATATCGGAACCAGCAGAGTTACTCTTGAGCACTGGTGTTTTAGACTCAGGGTAGAAAGAAAAAGAGCCTAAACCAGGGTTTTGGAGACACCCAAGTGAGAATAAAGCCAAGCCAGGTTCTCTGTAACCCGCCTGTTAAAGAAGCTCATTAGCTGGATACTCATTCAGTGACCCTCAGGAAGCCCCCTTCTCCCCGCATCATGGCAACGTGCCACCCTCTCCTGCAGCCCTCGGTTCTCCTTGTTCCCGATTGCCTCTAGCCTGTGCCAGGCTCTGCCACAGGCACACGCGGATCCCTGGGCTCTGAGGTCCTTCTGCTGCCTCTGCCAGGCTCACACAGGTCCTCCATACACCACAGGTGGCGAACACAGGCCCAGGTGAATCCGGCCCTCCACCTTGTTTTATCCGGCCTGACACCTTGTTTCTATTCTGCGACCGAGCCGAGCTCATGCTTAACTGTTAAGAAGTACTTACATTTATACAGTCCTAAAATTACATTCAGCCCCTTGAAGGCAACCATGAGGCTGATGTGGCCCCTGGTGAAAATGAGCTTGACACCCCTGCCATAGACTGTTGGTTAAAAGCATGAGCTTTGGAAACAAACTGGAGTCTGAGTCCCTGCTTTGTCACTCACCGGCTGTGTGATCTTCGCACAGTGGTTGGGAGATCCAGCTCTGCTTGCTGTGTGGTCTTGGGCACGTTACCCAACCACTCTGTGCCTCAGCCTTGCCATCTACAAAATGAGGGTAATAAGATTGCTCACGTGTCATGCCTTACATGTTGTGGTAGAGCCTTAATGGTGGTAACGAAGGTCTGTGCCTGGCTTGTGAAAGGAGTGCAATGAGTGTCTGCTGTCTAGGATGAGACGTCCATACCCCACCCCACCCCCAACCCCAGCAAAGCCTGCCCAACTCGGGGTGTGGTCCCTCAGGCTGTGAATCTCCCAACCAAGGGGCTGCGTGGCTCAGCTCAAGTACTTCCTCCTTGCTCTAAATTTGCCTTGCACAAGAGCGTGGGACCTAGCTCACTCCCAAGCTGCTGACCTCTGTTAGTGCATCTTGACACTTTGGCCAGAGTTCTCCCAGGACAGCCTTTCTCCAGGTCTGCCTGCAGCATGGCGGTCCCTCTGGTAACGCGCCCTGGCTGCCCTCCCCTCCACACCATATGCCCTGAGCCAGAAGCCCTGCCACGGCCAAATTGCTCCGTTCCCTTGAGCATTCCAGCCCTTCACACATCCAGGCCTCTGCACGTGCGGTTCCCACTGCCCGACCGCTGTCCCCCAACCCCTTCTCTGCCTGGAAAACGCCTCTTCATTAGGAGTTAGGCCAAACGCCTTCTTCTCAAAAGCCTTTCCCAACTTCAGGGCCCTGCCCTTTTCTCCCACAACCCTGGCACGAGTTTGTGCTCTGTGGACTGTGCCCTTCTCCAGGAGTAAGACAGTGTCCTCAGTGCCCTGCACACAGTGGGCAATGGTGCCCTCGGTAAGATCTCTGACTGGAAGTCCACCGGATTCAGCAGCAGAGAGGATCCGAATGCACTCCCGCAGACAGCCTCCGCTCCCGCACCCCCCATTCTGCTGAGACTTGGCTTGTCCCTCTGCACCTTCCCCACAGCTGTTAGCTCCCCTCAGCAGAAGACCAGGGGAGCGCCCACCTGCCAACCTGCTAAGTTCAGGGGAGGCCTTCGAGACAGCCTTGCAAACTGGGAGACCCAAGGTAACCACAAAGGATGGACTGAAATTAAAACATTAACTAAGAGCTGTTTATGGCAGGCAGTCAAGTCCTAGGCTCAGATCTTCCTGACAAAAGTCAGTTTTTACCTTAATTGAACATTTATTGTCTTCTTGTACCTGCAATGACATACCTTTGGAATGTCAACGTAATGGTAACATGCCTTTGGACCTCTGGAAGCACAGTCCCCTCTTGTTGCTACCATGTTAACTGCTGTCAACTATCCTGCACCCACCTGTGTAAAAGTATGTGTCTGTCATTGCACTTTTTATCCAATCCCAGAAGCTCCCGCTGCTCCCTGACCAGCCCCTTTGCTTTCTTTCACCTGCCTAATCTCTCACCAATGGACTTCCCGTAATCCACTTATGCCTCCCTTTTGATTGTAGTGTATAAACTAAGGTGCAAAACTGCCATGCCCAGAGTGTTTTCTCAATTCGTTGACATTTGGCTTCCCAGTTTGTTTGACTCAAACAAATTCAAAAAAATTCCCTACATGTTTCAGTGTTTCTCACGTTGACACTTCCCTCCATCCTGGACTTCACCCCAGGCTCCCACCCTCATTCGTGTAGGTGGTAGTCAATTCTGTCCTGTTCTAGCGAAGTCAAAAGAGAGAAAAAACACTTCCAAGGGCTTAGGCATCCCCAGTCACCGTTTTGCTAGGGGACACACTCCTGTTAGCGTTTAGACATACCAGTGGCACATTCCCTGTTGCTATGGTGATTCTTCATCACCCTCTTACAGATGAGGAATGACTCTCATTTTTCTGAGTCTGGGTTCTCCCAGAGAAGGACTCTGGCCAAGTCGTCGGCAGGCCCCCGCTGCAGGGAGGAGGGCTGCTCTGGTTCCTGAGGCTGCATTTCCAGCTCGGCTGTAGGAGGGGAGCTCACCTCCCCGAGTTGGGCCCCACGGTGTTTGGAGAGGCACAGGTGCGCTCTATCTTTAGCTGTGCGGCCTTCCAGCTACGTAACACCCACCAGCCACGAGGCCCGAGCTACTTTCAAGGGAAAATCATTGCGTCTTCCTCCTCCTGCTCTATTTCTCCTTTGAAATTTCACTGGAGTCAGCAGAGTTGCATGGAATTCAGAGGCACCCTTGGCCCTGCCTCTGTGGCTCACACACACCAGCCCCCTCCACTCCCCGTCTCTAACACGCATCTGCTAACCACGGCGCTGGCACTCAAGGTAGAATTTCTCTCACGTGAGAAAGAGGCATTCTCCGCCTCTCTTCCACCTTCCTCCCAGCCCCATGAGACTTCCACACAGGTTCATTCCTTTAAAAGTTTATTTCTGGTGAATAAAAAAAATAATTTATGTGACCAGATCAACAGAGTAAAGACATTATGACACGCAGCTGAGGTTACCGTTCCTGTTTGCTTCTGGACTTTGCAGCTTGGGGAGAAGGCGGATGAGCGGAACACAGCCTCCCGGAACCAGGAGGCCCCGGGGGGCTGGGGGCTGATCACACGTGGACACTAGCTGGAGGGCTGGGAGGTGGGCTCAGAGGACAGCCAATGATCCAAACCTCTTTTACAGGAAAAAAATGTGCTTTGTTTTTTTCAGACAGCCAACAGAAGCTCTGTCACATGGCTGTTCCTGATGACCATAAACATAATGTGTCCGGAAGATGCTCAGGAAGGCGGAGCAGTTGTCTCAGGGACTTTTAAACATGATACTTGGAGACCGTGGAGGGCAAGACACCTTCCCCCGAGGCCACCTCCTGAGACCTGCCCTTGGAGGTGACCTGAGCCCCTGGCACAGCTGTCAGGATTTGGGTTTCTGAACCTACTGCTTCAGCTCGAAGCAAACGTTTCCTGCCAATTCCTTGGCTCTCCTAAGGCTCACAGACCTTGCCTTGGTCAGCGGAGGGGCTGCTTCCTCCAGGAGTCTGAGAGCTGAACAGGCTGACAGTCTGTCTGTGCTGGGGTCTTCAGGCAGAGTCTCCAGAGGTCCCACCAAAGCCCAGAACCCAGAGCTGGGGGCGACTCGGGGCTCGCTGCCAAGGAGGGAGCAGGCTCATTAGCAGGAGGCCGTGAGTCCCCTGGGAGCGAGGCCACAGCTTGTTTACCCCCACTGCCTGGCTGCCTGGCTCTCGTGTGTCTGTGGCCTTGGGGCCACTCTGGCAGTGGCAGTGTCTATTGTCTTGGGGATGGGGGCATTTGGGTTTTTATATATTGATAAGTTAGGAATAGGCTTTGGTTGCTCATAAATTCACAGACTGATAAAACCCCCCAGAAAACAAGCAGGGGAGGCCTAGGAGAAGCCCTGAAGGGGTTTCTGTGCTCCAGGTGCTCTGGTGCTCACCCCTCGAGGCCGTGTGTGGGCAGATGGGCCCACTACGCCTGATTGGAGGGCTGCCCAGGACCCTAGGTGCCTGCCTGCATGGACCACCAGGGCCGCATCAGACTGGACACGGGCAGAGTTTGAATAGGGCTGGTTGTTTAACTGAATGTGGCTTTAGCATTCTTTTGAAAAGCAGAACCAACACCACCTAAACTCCCAAATGACCTCCAGGTCAGGTTTCTTTTTTGACCTTCAGAGACAGCAATTTCTGGGCTCCAGGATCAGCCTGAGGCTTCAAAGCCCAGTGCTAGCTCCCCAGCTGGGACTGGGACACCCCCCCAAAGAGATGTGCCATGCTCCAGACCTGGGACTGGTTCACCCCAAAACCATCCTTTTGTTAGACTGTCTGCAATGAAAACTCACACCCACAATGCAACTCATATCTGTGTTATTTCCCTTTGAAGAAGAACCAGAAGCCCCCCTTCCATGCCCCAGGGACACCTGTTGTAGCACCTATTAAATAACGCCCAGAGCACAGCCTTTCCACCACTCCTGAGACCAGGGGGGACAAGCCACAGGCCAGCTACGTGCACGTGTGCAGGCAGACGAGGGAGGGGCAGAGGAAAAAGCACCACACAGGTGTCCCAGCCGGACACTCCAGACAGGAGGACATTTGTATGGGTCCTGCAAAAGTGAACTTGGCTCTAGGCCTGTCCTATGTCGTTGTAAAGGAAAGATCTTCCCACTTGACTCGTCTCTGGAGGTTTTTAATGACTCAGGCAGGGACAGAGGGCTTACTGCTTGTCACTGCCTGGCTCCTGGGATGCTGGGATGTGACGGGGGACAGGTAGACGGGAAGAGAAGCAACTGCACAGCCTGGAAGAAAAGGGGCCAGGGCAGGCCATGGAGGGGTGCCTCAGAGTCCTGTGACATGAGGGTGCTAATCTGGCTTGACTGGAGCAGAGGAGCCTTCGGGTCTGGTCCTTAAGTTTCAGAAAGCACCCTGTGCCTGTGTGCAGTGTCTCGGGAGATCCGCAGTCCACGGGGCCCTAGCCCAGGGCAGAGTGTACTAGACACACTCAAAAAGGGTGAGTAAAAATGTGGAAGCGTCCCTGAGAGGCCAGGGCTTTGCCAGCCAACCTCCTCTTCAGAGGTGACGCCTCTGCCCTCACCTCCCTGCACACTCTCTCCACCTGCTTTGTATTGACACATGTATTTCCTCTAGCTTTGTACTCGTCTGGACTGGACAAAAAACTCTCTTATGGGCAGCACTTCCAAGTCTTTCATAGATATGGGAAGCTGTCCAAGTTTAATTATATTTTCAAGCCATGACACGGGATAGAGTCTGCTAGAGCAGGGCTGTTGGCAAGGTCTAATAGTGACACCTTTTGAGGACCAAGGCATCAACTGTTCCCCTGGGTGGAAATTGGAAACTGTGCTGTGGACGTGGTGTGAGACGAGATGCCACATTACTGCAGAGAAGCGGAGAAGGGCTGCCTTCCATGGCATCAGCTTTGAAAACCATGCACCCTCATTCCCATTTTTCCTCCATGAATTCTCTCAAAGATACTTGCTACCTGGGATTAGGCTCTGTCGGGAGTCAAGGCTCAGATCAAAGGTAAATTTGAGGCCTTTAAATACCCTTCAAAGAGAGGGTTCTGAAAAAAGAGGGAGGGGAAGAACCATACAATTCTGGAAGAGTGACATCTAGGAAGACAGACTCTGAAGATAGCATGTATCTTCACTTATAAGATGCAACAAGGAAAACTACCTCGTTAAGGTTCATACTGACTTTAGGATGCACCTAGATCTCATAAATATCAAGACATAGGGAAAACATCCATCTCAGCAGGGAGGAAAGGGGACAGACTTGTAAACAGATGCCTCCCCATTCTAGATTTTGACCATTTTAAGAGCAGAGGAGCCGGTGTGGGACTTGGCAGATGGAGTCACCCAGGAATTGCTTTATTTCAGCTGAATCCCTGCCTTGGATGGATGCTGCACTGCCTGTCATCTGCGGAACATGGGTTTGTGTGAATGCATTTGCACGAACTGAAACAGCCTCTGCAGCATAAGGAGCCCACACATTTTATTACAGCCCCTGCTCACCAAGCCCTGACAGTTACCCCATACCTCTGCCCTTTGGATTACGGAGGAAAAAAAAGATAATCATTCGATTTTTTCTGGGCCACAGAATACAAGATGGGTCTTGTATTGTACAAGGAGCTTACACACTGAGGCAAGAAGGCGTGCAAACAGGAGCAGGAATTCGTCACCCTCTGGGTGAGCCAGCGCTTGAGACGCAGGAGGACGGCCCAGGCTGGCCTCCCGGAGTCCGCACTGGTTTGCGTTTCGGTCTCTTATCGGCCGTGCTCAACTCCAACTTCCACCTTCTTCTGAGAGGGAGAAGGGTATCTTCGAATACCTATGGCCTCAATGACTTCCTCGAGCCATTATTTTTTTCCTGTTACAACTTCACAGAAGGCCCGGGAGCAGGCCCGTGGAAGGACCATCACGGAGCACAGGTGTCTGGGATGACATAATACTGACTTCCCTGTTTTGGTAACAGTCCATGACATGTGCACCCCTCTCTCCTGAGATCAGGTGAGGCACGAGGGGAGGTGGCGGAGGAGCTGTGGGGGGAGACACTGTACCGTGTGACGTCACAATCATGCAGCTGGCGCCCGATGAGACGGAGGCGTGAGGATGAGCTCTCGGGGCCCTGGGCTGGCCCCGGGGGGCAAGCAGGCAGCTTCCAGGGAAGCGCCCGGCCTCTCAGCAACACTGTCCGTCCAGTTCTCGAAGAGCCGTCCCCCAGGGCTCGCCATCTGGGCTCTAGACTTAGCCTTCGTCCTCCCTCAGCTCGGTGGGTAAGAACTTATACTGCTGTTGGCGGATCTGGGCCAGCTTTTTCCTTGCTTCTTCCAGTTCACGTTCTTTCTTTAGCATCTCCTCCTGGGCAGCGATAATCTGGAAGGAAAGCAATGAGCTGGATGGATCTAAAACTTTCTAGGAAACTGCCCTCCCCCTCCGCCGCTTGTCTCCTGAGCTCCCATAGCACCTGTGACAGGCAGGCACAGCAGAGCACCAGGAATAAGGGTTCGCTCTGGAGACCAGCCTCTGGGCCACGGCTCAGATTTTGAGATCGATGACCCGGTTGACCCAAGAAAAGAAGCTGACTTCTGGCCACCGACTTAATAGCAAACATCTGCGTCATCCCTACTATGCACACAGCTCTGGTGGAAGCACATTATGTGGCGTGTCCCATCACCTTCTTGGTGGCACCGTGAGGTGTGCCCCACTGAGAGGCCTGTTTTTCCAATGAGGAACCTGCAGCTGAGAGACAGAGTCCACTTCCCTGCAGTCCCCAGCTAGTGGGGCAGGACCCGGCCCAGACATTCCCGAAGCCACAGCTGGAGTCACCAATGACTAGATGCCGTCCACATATTTATTTCATGCTTCTAAGGTGTGAGGGATATTAGTCATCGGTCTTACATGAAAAAGGTAAGTTTGTGTTCAAGAAAGCCAAATAGATTTCTTTCCTTAGGCCTTTTCAGAGCCTTTCCTCAGCCAGCAATCCCTGGGATACTCTGAGGTGGGGGGTAGAGTGCAGTATTTCACAGCCATATTTGGTCAGAGACCCTTCTGCATGGAATTTCTCATGGGACTAGTGTATCAAGATACAGAGCCTGGTGAAAGTGAACCCAGCGTATTTCCAAATGGAGGAAGTGGTTCGGGAAGAACTAAGGAAGGCACAGGAATGACTAACTGAGGAACGAGGAACAGGGTCTCGGTGCTCTTGGCACTCTAAGAAAACCAATCTCGTATAACGGATTTATATCAACACACACCTTAAACTGCAAACCTGATTTCCTGCCATTTCCTCCTCATTTGGAAGCACATGAATGCAACCCTGCATCATCAGGCTACTCTCTGATGACCCCATCTATTCTCCTAAAAGTTCTGGGCAGGGGCCATCACTCATTCTCTCTTTTGAGCCAAATATCTTGAGTGGGTAGCAGCTCCAAATGCATAACTCTATTTATATAATAATATCACTGTCCTTCGATTTCTCTCCTCCTTCTTTTAAAATAGAATCCCTAATTTTTAGCTAGGCACGTGACTACTAAGAATACTGCGTTTCCCAGCCTCCTTTACATCAAGGTTGGCCATGTGACTAAACGCTGATGGATGGCACATAAGAGGAAGTGATGTACGCAACTTCCGGGCTGTGCCAGCCTCCTTTACCTCTTCTTGCAGGCTGGAAAGCCCAGGTAGTTACTGAGCTACCTTGGACCAAGTGGCCAAGAGCGATGTCTCAGGGAGGATTTAGTAATAGGGAGATAAACTCTGGGTTGCAGACACCAAAGAACCACCACACCACTCCTTAACTGCTTATACCCAGGCTGTCACGTGGGAGAAAGAAACTTCCACCGTGTTAAAGTAGCTGCTGTAACACGATGCCCATCGTGAGAGCACACACAGTCTGGATTTAATCACACACCTGAGCGATGCCCCCCACAAATTTCGTCTTCACTACTACATCGTCATCATCAGCTTTGCCAAAGGCTGCCTTCTGGGCTGCACGAACAAGATTGTCGGAGGCTCTTTTCACAGCATTTCCTGCCACCTGGAGAGGCAACAAAACAAGCATTACACCATTAGAAACAGCCATGTGGATCTGGTGAGAACAGACATGAAGGTACAGTTCATGAGACTACGAATCTATTTACCAATTATAACGCAGAAGTTCTCTCTAGTTAGTATGCATCTGTCTGTCCATCTGTCCATCCATCTATCTGTCCATCCATCCACTGATTCTACCAACAGTAGCACCTACCTAATCTTGGCTCACTCACAGATGAATAAGATCCAGTTTCTGGCCCCCAAGGAACATGCACTTTTGAGGGAGACTGCAATTAAGTACATAAATGATCGTAGCTCTGTGACATGCGTGTTAACGGAAGCACTCAGGGCTGCCTCCTTGGTCTAGAAAACCACCTCTTCTGCCCCATTCAGCTCAGGCATACTTGTGGGCTCGGCTTGCACGCCCCTTTCTCGGTCCACCTCAGTCTCACCCACCCTATGCACCTGCACGCTTGGTGCTGGCTTCTCTGCAGCCCTCATCACACTTGTGGTTGCCTTTCTCCCTCCTGGACAGTGAGTGACTTGAAGACAGGGGCTGTGGCTTGAATATTTGCATCCCCAGCACCTGGCACAGTGGCTGCCTAGGGCTGGTGCTCTCTGAATGATTTTTGGTCAAATGTAGGGCCATGAAAGCACTACCAACCCCGGCATGAAAGGGCTGGGAGCTCCGCAGTAATAAGGCCTTTACAGATGTGCTTTGGAGTTAGGGCTGGGCTTTACGCCACCTGCTGCTAGGGACAGGCAAAGAAGAGCTTTTCAGGGCCTGGTCTGGGTCTTCAGTAAGAGCTATAGTTGGTACTGGCTCCCTCTTAATGTTTGGGAAGCATGGCCCTGTGGCCTTGTCTTCTGCCACCTGAGGTTTGAGATTATCTTCTAGTGACGGTCAAGGCTTTGTTGTGACTCCTGATTCTTTGCCCAGAGTGCTCAGAGTCGAGGATTTGTGCTTAGGGGTTAAACCTCAGAAACTTGAGCATTTTTTTTCATTCAAAGTTAACTGGCTCATCCAGCTGTGAGCTATCGTGACAAGTAGGGACTACGAGAGCTTGCCCACAAGGGAGGGGGAAGCCAATTAATCTCTGACAAGAAGTCACCACGTGCTTATTCTCAAAATAGCTTCCTGAGGTCAGAGCTCATCAGTCCACCTTTCTGACATGGAAACTGAAGTGAACTAACTTGACTGAGACCCTGGAGCTGGTAAGTCGCAGAGCTGGGGTTTGAACAGGCCCGTCTAGCTCCAGAGAACCCCTGGGTCACCGGAAGCAAGTCAGACATGACATTACAGCAGCCACATCAGCAACAGTGACTGTGAGAGTGGTGCTGTGTGACACCCGGGACTTACATGCCTTGACCCTCTAAAGGGCAGTGCAGGCAGCTCCACCCCCATTTTACAGATGAGACAAACTAAGGCCTGGAAAATTCTGGGGGATTTGCATAAGATCATGTACTTAATCCACAGCAGGGGCAGGACTTGAACCCTAGTCTCTCTCTCTTAATTTGGGATGTTTTCCTCAAACCCATGAACCACATGCTCATAAACGTGCAGCTCCCCTCCCCCACGCTGGGCTTATCCCAGGCATCAGATGACGGTGAGGGAGGTGTGTCAGAGACACACTCAGGAGGACCGGACAGCAGCGACTCGCTTTAGGACTTCCAAAACAAAACGGGAGTTCTGAGCTTTGGTGGAACTGTTCAAATAGTTTTGCTATTTATGAAGTTACTCATGACTTATATAAATACATTTTAGCACATAATCTGCATTTTAACACATAATAAAAATCTAGAAAATTGGACACAACACGTTCAAAGCACAGGGAAATTCAGTCATAGTCGGCTGATGCGATATCATGCAATCATTAAAATGAGACTCATGAAGAATGGACCAGTTAGCTTTGCACAGAGAAATTATGAGGACTTTCCTTCAAGGAAAAAGATATGCATGATAAAATGTTAAGTGAAGAAAAGCAGAATGTCTCTTGCTATGATTACAACCAGACAGAGTCATTTTGTACACAGATAAACACAGGAAGAGAAAAATAATGTTTGACATGTGACAATGTTGAGGCTCCGTGACTCTCTCATCCTGACCTTTCTTTCACTGTGTTTGAAATACGGGACAATTAAAACAATTAGGAAAACATATGCTGTGGGAAGGACTCTATCGTCACCTTCACAAGCATGCTCTCTGGGCTCTGGGAAACCTTAGCAACGGCTTGGATAAACTCTCGGTCCTCTCCCCGCCTGCCCCAGCAAGCAGCGAATGAGCGCCTCCTCTGACCCAGGTGCCACCTGTGGGGTGCGCGGTGCAGAGATGGAGGCTTGGTGCCCGAGCCTAAGGAGCTCCGCGCCTTGTCGAGGACTCATGTAAAGGTAAACGTGGTGGACCAGGGAACGGGAGCCATGAGAGTGGTCTGGCTGGGGGCCCTCGGGGCTCTGGCAGAGGCAGGCCTGGCTGCCTGAGGCCTGGGGGCCAGGAAGGGATTCCTAGAGGAGGTGACTTTGGAGCTGACTGGAGAAGGACAACTAGGAGTCCCCCAGGCTGGGGGGCGGGGAGGAGGGCCCCGAGGCATGAGACCAGGAGGCGCCCGGGAGCACGTTGGTTTGGTGGGGCAGCAGGGTGCAGGAGGCGTGGGCGCACGTGGTAGGTAATGAGGAAAGCGGCACAGAGCTGGCTGATGGAAGGCCCGATGGGTCATGCCAAGCAAGCGAGACTGTCCCCTCTGGCGACACTTACCCGCTCCAACAGGAGTATTTTCCCACCAGCATCAGTGACCATTACCTGTAGCCGCCTCATGGCCTCTGAATCCTGGTCGGCCTTCACCTTGCAGGCCACGAGCAGCTGGGCTGTGGAAGCGGCGACCTGCTTGGCGGATGAGATGAGCTTTTCCTCACTTGCATGTCCCTGAACAGAGGCGTTGGCCGCCTCACAGAGACTGCTGGTCGCAGCTGCCACCATGCGGGCCTGGGGACAGTCAACGGAGAAGTGACCCAAGGCCCAAACCTCCCCCAGGGGTTCCCAAAAGCAAACGGGGAAGAAAGAGAAGGTGACTCACGGCAGAAATCAGCCCCTGTGACCACTGTCCGTCATCTGCAGCGTTGGCGGGGATGGAGCCCACCTAGGGGGTGGAGGTTAGAAATTGGCAGTGAGAGCTGGGAGGCTTAGGGCGACGTGCGGCCCCCCAGAGCCCACACTGCCTGGCACCAGAGGGAGGAAGGCCTCAGACCAGAGGCACCAACAGGAGCTCCCGCCGTCAGCACCAGCACGCTGGCTGGTTTCCGCCTGGGCCACAAGGAGCCCCTCTGCAAGGCCCCCAGCGGCCTGTTCAGTTGCCAGGGATTGCGTTTCTGGGAAACGGCTCAGGAATGATAGATCAGGGCTGTCTTTACATGCTCATTTCCTTTGCCGACCTTTCTCCACTTCAAACACGGGAGCCCCTGAGGCCTCTTCTTTCAAGGGCCAAGGGAAACTTAAATCTCTCCCGATCACAGAGCCTGCAGCCACACTGTGACTATCTGGCAGATGACACCGACATGGGCAGTACATTCCTCCAGTACAATTAAATGCAGAACCTTAAGGAAACAGACTGTTTTGTTGGGGCAATAAGTAAAATATTTTCTGTCCAGACATAGAGTGAGTATCTATGGGAGGAAATACCTTTATACTTGTGGGGGCTGCATAGAGAGGTAAAACATGACTCCCTATTTCAAAAATCATTTTATTACTTTTTTTAATCCTTACCTGAGAACAGTTTTTCACTGCTTTTAGAGAGAGAGGAGGGGAGACAGAAAAACATCCATGAGAGGGAGAAACATCGATTGTTTGCCTCCTGTAGGTGCCTGGACCAGGGATTGTAGGTGCCCAGACCAGGGACCGAACTTGCAACCTAGGTATGTGCTCTAACCAGGAATCGAATCTGCAACTCTTCAATTACAGGAAGGCGCCCCAACCAACTGAGCCACACCAGCCAGGGCAGATGAAGACTCTCTCTATTTGAATATGAAACTGAGGGTCTGTCAGCAATGACAGGAATCACATCAGGGCTTGGTGAAAGTCAGGTAAATCCCAAGGTCCTGGATATAAGCCTAGAGTTCACCCAAGTCCAGCCGAACCTCCGTTACCAACTTTTCAGTGCTTGAACGTCAGAGTCCCTTGGAGGACAGGACTCTGCCACTTCAAGCCAGATTCTGTAGACTCTCGCCATGTGTCTGGCACATACTTGGCCCTTTATCCATAAACTAGGATTTTTAGGTAGGATATTTTTCTCAATGGCCCATTTTTGGTCTTTGCATATTGATGGGTCAATGCACACTCGGTAAGTAAGGTCAGCACCGTGCCACGTCTCCGGGGGATACGTGAGAACATAAGGGAACAGACTGCATGCCGCTTGGGGAGGTGCACATATGTCAACACTGAATTACAGACATCACAATGGTTTAGCCGGAAAAGCCAGAGTACGTGGTCTGAGACTAAGACATGGCTCGTTCACAAGAGACTTCCTTTGGAAGACGGACAGCCACCACGTGGGCATCACTTTCTGTCTGTGCTACACATTCTTGGGCCCAGACACACTCATACCTGTCTCTCTGCACACTGACAGCAAAGGCCTTCTCCATGGCAAACAGAAGTGACTGACAGTTATGATGACCAAATTTCCCAAACCCCAACTGACACACTGCGAGGGGTTTCTGCAGGGCCTTTATATTTGAGAGGCGCTCTGCAGATACAATTTGGATGGGGTGGTTTCATGTTGTACGGGGAAAAAACAGGACACAGGGAGTAATTTAAATTGGAAAGCTTTGCCACAGCCAGGATTAGTCTAATACACTATTAATTCTTTGGATTAGTGAAAAAGAACTAGGCTTTCATGCTAATGCAGATGGAATGGGTGATTGGAGATGAAGCTGATTAAAGACATTTCAGATTTAAAACTGGACTGGCCTTTTGGCCAATGGGCTCAGGAAAATGGTAACTGCAGAACTGGATAGCATTCAGCTACATGGTACTAAAGAATCAGTGGAGCCTCTGGGGTTGGAAGACGGCATTAGAAAGTCCTTAGTTACACAGCCATCCACCAGGAAAACACGACAGCTTACGTCCTTGAATAGCCTAATGCACGGTGGGAATACCAGTGTCTTGTTCTGGCCTGATCACTGCCCGGGGTGGTTTCTTTCCTTAACCAGAAGCAGATGAGAGGCCAAGAAGCCAAACCCTTGATTCCGTTTGTCAGGTTTAAGCAAACAGAGTGTTTGGGCAGTGGAGGCAGACTGGCAGGTCAGTGACAGAAGGCACAGCGCTGGTTTCCTTGGTCAGGCCTAAAGCCTTCAGCTCTTTTCCTCACAGGCTCTCACTGTGTGACCTCCCACTGCTTGGCCAACAGCGTTTACCCACCTTTCCTTGGGCCACCAGCTCCCTCTGGGCTGCTGAGGCTGACTTGACCAGGGCACTTGTGGCAGCAGCAATGGATTTAGCAGCTTCCAAGATCTGTTCTTCAAAATCCAGAGTCTCATCTGCTTGCTATAACCAAAAGAGAACAGTGTCACATGCACGTCATATCCACAAAGGGCACATTGTGCCAAGCTACTTACTGCCCAGTCACCTGGCTCTTCATCTGTCTTTGCTTTTTGTTGGCAAACCAGCCCAGGCTGAAAGGCCTACGCTGCCTCCCCAAGTCCCCTCTCCAAAAGGCGAAAGCCACCAGCACTGACATTCTACACAAATGTTAACTCAGGAAGTTCTAAGGCTATTTTTCCAGGCCAGAATCTTTAAAGAGACAAAAACCCACCGTGAATCAAATATCTTGAATGGTTCCATCGGTATCGATATCCAAAACCAAAATAACCAATAATCAAAATCCAAAGTGGGGGTGGTGGCACCTTTTTCCGGGGCTTAGGGCTCAAAAATGGCTAGCGGTCATGAAAAACCTTATTTTTCTGGGGCAAAAACAAAAGCAAAGTAGCACTTGCCTCTTTGTGGCTGAGCGCGAAGAGAGTTACATACCAACCAAAAACCACCCCGTGATGGAAAAGAAACCCGCCCAGGTGAAGCTTGTCCAGTCACCCGGCTCCCGGGCCCGCTGCACCTGGGGAAGAACACTGGCCACCTGTGCAGGCACTGCCAGGTCAGTGGGACTCTGCTGTAAATTTGCCACCACCATGCTCAACGCAACCTGGGAAGTTGAAGAGAAGCTTCTGGGGAGTGGGCTGGGTGGGGGGGCACCACCATTTGGGGTGGTCAGACTAGACAATGTTCAAGGTCCCCTGTAGCACTAATAGTCCCCCAATATGCTGAAGCTCCCCTTGGGCCCCAGAATGCCGAAGATGTGGCTGGTACCAGCAATACTTTTCTTTGCACGTGTGTGGTAAAATACACCTAACATTTACCCTCTGGACCAATTTTAAGTGTACGAGTCAGTGTCATTAAGTACATTTGCAGTGCTGTACAATGGTAATAGAGTTTTAAAAGTGTCTACTATGTGCCAGGCAGCTTGTTTAGGCACTTCCATGCACATTAGCTTGTTTTCACCAAAAAAACAGGAAAAAACCCCCTGCGCTGTAGGTATCCATACCCTTATATTCACAGTGAGAACACTGAGGCTCAGAGAGGTGAAAAACTGGGCTCCAAGTCAGGCGGCAGCAAGAAAAGTCTAAATCAGACTTAAACCTAAAACTCTCTGAGTCCACCATGATCTGTTTTACTAGTCAAGGGCCACAGCCCCCGCCCCTCTGCTGCCCAACCTGGGCATCAGTGAGGAATAGGTCAGAGGCGCAAAGTCAGCTCACTAGTGGTCCCAGACGAGACATCAAATAGGATGGATATGTGGGCACAGCTCTTTTCTACCGCCCTGTTCTTAACGATCGCATCTTCCATCAGGAGAGATGCCGACCTCATTTTCGTTTTATGCCCACGTTATCAAAGTCATGGTGCAGTGCACACACAGTGGGTCTGTAGGACGGCAGCAGCGTGTGAGGAGCTTGGGGACAGACGCTGGACAGTCTTTCTTCTTTCTGATAGTCTTGCTCTGGGAGCATTTGGGACAGGAACGGATTCAGTTCTGGTGGAATCATTTTGGATTCTTCATTATGGGGTGGGAGTGGGGGAGTAGCAATAGTGGAATATGAAATTGTTTGCTGAAATACAAACATGACTCATTATAAGGTGCTTTGGTGTGAAAGGTATTGTCATGCACAGGCCCCGAAGACATATATAGGCTCTGGGACCTGTGTTCAATGATCTTGAATTAATAGCTTTTTGGAAAACTCATTCTGCAAAAGAAAGTCAAGCATACATAACAGATTAAGGCACCGAGGAAACCACAGACCTTTGGAGGCCAAAGGGAGCCCCTCCTCACTTTGCAGATCAGAAAACAGAAGCCTGGGGTGCCTCCCAAGAGTCTCCCGGACTCCTGTCTCAGGGGCCCTTGGCTGCACTGTGTGTTCTACAGTTCAGTCCACTTTACAGGGTGGAGTGCCCATCAGCAGATTCCTGATTTCCCAAATTTTAGGATTCATAAATATGGAATTTCCTTAAAATGAAGTGCTAACTCTAAGCATGAATACTATGATGAAATCATTACAACTGGTTTGAAAGGCTTCTCCCATGTCTTCTGCTGCCTGGCAGGGTTTTTGTTTTATTATTATTATTTCATCATCACCACAAATTTTTGGGTAAAACACATGCTTAAAATAGATATTCAACTTCAAAATATCTTTGACACCCACTGATTTTTCTTGCAATGGCAACTGCCGTAACACCCCTTGATGGATTTTTATTTTTCTCTCCAGAACATCTCTATGCTTTAAAATGGCCACAGCAGAAAGCCTTATTTCCGGAAGACATGTGCTCGGATTAAAAAGTACTTGAGAGCTTCCCAAGGAAGACTAGATAGAGCCGACTGGGATGGCAACGAGGATAGAAGGTGCTTGTTTAGATGCTGCCATCTGGGCGGAGTGCTGCTGGCCTGCCCGCTGGGTGCAGGCATTCTGCAGGCAGGTTACCATTAACACTAACCCACCCTGTCTCTCCTGCGCACACAGACATCAACCCCCGAGGCTTCCTCATAGCACACAACTTCCAGCCTCAGAGGAAATGGGGTCTCCCTGCCCCCGGGAGGGTTGGTGAAAAGGCAAGCACCCCGGTCAGTGCCCCCATCAGCTTCAGCTCCCACTAGCACAGAGGATGGAAGTGGAGAGAAGGGCGGCCAGGTGGCCAGAGAAGAGGAGGATGTACACGGCTTAACCACATCGCAAAAAAGGAGAGAAACAAGATTGGCTTGGTCTTTGAAGGACTTCAGTTTTTCCGTTCCCCATACTCCAACAACTGGAGCCATTAAGATTGTTAAAACAATTATAACTAATCCTATGCATGTAGTTACTTATATTTCTTTAAAGCAGGAGTGTCAAACTCATCTCTACCGGAGGCCACATCAGCCTTGTGGTTGCCTTCAAAGGGCCAGATGTAATGTTAGGACTGTATAAATGTAACTGCTCCTGAACAGTTAAGCAAGAGCTCGGCGCTGCCGCTGGGGAGAAACAAGGTGCCGGGCGGGATAAATCAAGGTGGAGGGCCGGATTCAGCCCTCGGGCCTTGTGTTTGCCACCTGTACTCTAAAGCTACTCACATCCAGTGAAGGTGATGAACTCAAGGAAATGTTTTCATTAGGTGGGCTAAACTGATAGCTTTTGCAGAATCGCCAGAGGATCTGGTTAACGCTGCAGACCTACTGTGTTTCAGTAGGTCTGGGGCGGGGCCTTGGAATCTGCATTTCTAATGGAGGTGTTCTGGCCTGTGGGAAATGCTGGCCTGGGTCAAGGAGAAATAGACACTCGTCAGCTGAACCCTACCAGCCTATGATCTCCGCCAGGGCACAGACTTTTTATTCAATGTATATCTCCTGAGCACAAAATCAGAGCAGCCCGTGTGATGAAAGCTTGGGGAATGGATGTATTTATGCAAAATGAGTCTCCCGAGTTCTCGAGTTCAGCCAGAGGATAGTTTACATGGTTAGAGAAGGAGACGTGCACCGAGTGAGTGTCCACATCAACAGCTGTCCACTCCTGATTCCTGGGGCAGGGGCAGGGGGTGAAGGCACACGCATCTGGGTACAGGCTCCTGCCCATGTAAAGCTGCGGGTTGACTGTATGGTCTGCCTGCATCCCTCCACTGACCTGCACAGTTGGTGACAGCTCATGGGGCACGCACAGATGTAACACAGTGGCACTTTTGGCATTTTGCAGAGGCTCTCAATAAAATACTACTGGGCAAAATAACAGATGTACAAACTGAGAATCTGTTCTGCTTCGTGACGGGGTTGGCCGCAGCCTCTGAGTACTGACTGTATTCTCTCGCCTTTCGTACAGGTCCTTTCCCCTCGCCCCTCCACTGGAAAAGACTATTGGCCAGGTCATCACTAGCTCTTAACAACAGACTAGCCGGTGACGCCCTTCTCCTCACCTTAGTTTTTTGGTAGCTTTGAGAAGGGTGTAAGCACCCTTTTGCCACTATTTTCCTGTTTGGTGATCTTAGGCGGAGCTCCCCTTTTAGAGAGTCAGTGGTCGGGGAAGCTTTCTCTGGGGAGGGACCACACTCCAGGTGGGCTCCCCACAGCTGGACAGCTTCATGGGAAGCTGTCTAATTAGTGTCTAATCAGCACTCTGATTGGTCTAATGTTCAGAGAGCTGGAGGTTCCACTGGGGTAGGAGAGGGGGAGGAGGTGTGGAAAGGGAACAGAAAACGGGAGGCTTTTCTTCATTTTTGAAGTACCTTTTGCCTTTCAAGGATTCCGAGAACACAGTCTTTGCAGCAATTCATTTGCTTGGCCAACCTCCTTCCCTCCTACCCATCCGGTAGGGCTGCTTAAGTATTCCTATCCATGGAGCACAACTGACTCCTAGTAAATGTTCATTAACTACCAGCAAATAATTTCATTATTATTTCTACTACGTATATTTTTTATGGTCTTAAATATTGTTTTTTTCAGACTTTGGGCTAAGCTAGTCTGTTTTCCCTTTCCAAACGCTGTTTGCCACTCAATTCTGGTAAGAATTCAACCTGCCTTTTCTGATTAAAACCTAAAACAGTTATAAATAAAAACTGCAAACATAAACGAGGTGTCAAGTGCCAGGTGATACAGATCGGCACTGCTCGCGGCCTCTCCCTCAACACCCAACCAGGAGATGGATGAGCTGGGTGTCAGTCACCGACCTGCACTTCCTGACCGTGACTTGGAGACATTCGCTCCCCTTCTCTGACAACAATCCATTTTCTGTCTGTAATGTGAGGAGCAACTCGGCGGCCCTCCTGGTGCCTCACAGCTTAGACACGCCAATCAAACCCTTCTTAGAAGGCACTGTCTAAAATAAGCAGGGAGTACTGACTCTCTTCCTTCCTCTTTGTTGGCCTCTTCAGGAAGGAGCCCTGCGTCCTTCCTGCAGTGTCTTTACCACCGGCCCCTGGCCCGTCCCCGCCCCCCCAGGTCCCTGGGCATGTGGGGGGCAGAGGAAGAGTGTTTCCACCCG